TAATCAACAGCACCTGCTACTTGTACCACAGGTTGATGAGGCGTGATTTTGCTGTGATTCCGGAAGCAATTAATTACAATTACAGCAATTACCTTCGGCTTAAATTGTTGATTAGTCTCCCCCCTCTGCTGGCAACATTGTGGTGATTGGTCGATCCATATTGGTGATTGATTCGGTGTGGCGACTGGTTAATTTTTGGGGGGGGGTAGAATGTTGTGATTGGTTCATAGTTGTGATTGGTTAAGTGTTGTTATTAGCCAGTGGTTGTGTCCCGAATCTTATCCACTCCCAAGACCTTGGGCCAGATTCACGAAAGCACTTACGCAAGCACTTACGAACCTGTGCATCTTTTCTCAATCTTTGGCGGCTTTGTTTACAATTATTAAACAGTTAATGAGCTCCGAAGCACCAGGAGGCTGTTTATAACAATAACAACAGTTGACTGGCAAGTTTTCATGCTTGTAAACTGCTTAATAAATGTAACCAAAGCCGTCAAAGATTGAGGAAAGATGTACACGTTCGTAAGTGCTTTCGTGAATCTGGCCCCTTTTCTCTTTCCGATTTATGTATTTGGCTTCACTTTGTGAGGAAGATCTCTCCCGGAAACATTGCGTCCCCGTGCTGGGGAGCGGCGGAGGGGCGGGCCCTCAACGTGGAGTTAATGCTTTGGAAACCGTCCAAAAGCCTAACGAATTGGAAACATTAACAAAAAAAAAATAGTCCGAGGCTGACGCGTTGGTGTGGCGTGCTGCTCTTCCCGGGGCGTCGTCCAGGGTGTGGGTGGGGGGTGTGGCGCCCTCTATATGCGTCTAAGGGTGTGGCCGTGCGCCACACACCCCGGACGCGCATAGGCCGTGTATTGGCGCCAATGTAGAGGCTGGTTACCCAACATCTCCCACTCCCGTTGGCATCAAATCTATGCCCCATACTTTTTTGGGGGGTCCGTGTGTTCTATTTCTGGTGAGCAAAACGATTTAAAAGTTTTAGGGAACTGCGTCCGACTTCGTATATATCCCCCGTCTGAGAGTTGTGGAGGGGGAGAGGGGGGGCAGGAAAGGGAACTATGAGGGGGAAAGCGCCAAGCCATTACGACTATATAGCACTTGGAAGAGGTCAGGATACGGATTTGGGATGGGACGGGGGAAAGGAATGGTGCCCAACCACTTGGACGATCGGGGATTGAACGCCGACCTGCTTGAAGCCAGACCGTCGCTCTACCGTCCAGCCCAAGAGGTTGGGCAAAGGGAGGGGGGGAGGGGGCAGGAATGTGTGGGGGTACACCAGCTTAGTGTCCAGGTGGTGATGATGGAGGTGGTGACGGCCCTGTGATCACCAGCTGGTCCTTGGCGTCGTTACTGGTGCACAACAGACGGGTCACGCGCACCGTCTGACGGAACGTAAATATTGGGCTGACCGTCGGTGACTCAGATACTCTTGCTCTGTGGACGGAACCAGTTTGGCAGGACACGGACATGGACAGAAGGACACGCACGCACACACAGGCGCGCACACACACTTGACAGATGAGTCGACAGTGTTCGGGATTCGTAGTAATAGGGTCCGGGGGATCGATTCCCGGCGGCGGAGGCGGATACAGATGAGCAGAGTTTCTTTCACCCTGATGCTCCTGTTCACCTAGCAGTAAATAGGTACCTGGTAGTTAGACAGCTGCTACGGGCTGTTTCCTGTGTGCGCGCGCGCGTGTGTGTGTGTGTGTGTGTGGAAAACAAAAACCAAACAGTTGATTGATTAATTGACAGTTGAGAGGTGGGGGGGCCCAAAGAGCCAGAGCTCAACTCCCCGCAAGCACAACTAGGTGAGTACACTGGACTTCCCGTCAAATTCTCCCCTGAGAAAATGTAATCCAATTTTCTGGCTGTCAATTAGCGCAGCTTAGACTCAGCTGTCCGTCAAGGCCTCGCCTGGGGAACCACACAAACACTCCAACCACCAATTGGGGAAAAAAATAGGTTTTAGGGGAGTTTATATTAGGTTTGTAGTTGGGAAATTGGGGAATCGTCGAGCTCAGAGACTTTTTATATTTTTTCTTAAGTTATCCACAATATTTCCCACCTGACTAAAGGGTTATATATGAGTGTAAGAAGTGTTATAGGTTTTTTATTATTATATTTTAGGGGAAACTTGGGTAAATAAAATGCAGCATTGTTTTTGTCGCAACGGGGGTGTTGGAGAGAGGCAGGCGTTCCTGTGTGAGGTTCCACTGTGTACCGTGTACCGTGATCACTGTGTACCATGCTTACCGTGTACCGTGCTCACTGTGTACCGTGATCACTGTGTACCATGCTCACCGTCTACTATGATCACCGTGTACCGTGATCACTGTGTACCATGCTCACCGTCTACTATGATCACCGTGTACCGTGATCACTGTGTACCATGCTTACCGTGTACCGTGCTCACTGTGTACCGTGATCACTGTGTACCATGCTCACCGTCTACTATGATCACCGTGTACCGTGATCACTGTGTACCATGCTCACCGTGTACCGTGCTCACTGTGTACCGTGCTCACTGTATACCATGCTCACCGTCTACTATGATCACCGTGTACCGTGATCACTGTGTACCGTGCTCACTGTGTACCATGCTCACCGTCTACTATGATCACCGTGTACCGTGATCACTGTGTACCATGCTCACCGTCTACTATGATCACCGTGTACCGTGATCACTGTGTACCATGCTCACCGTGTACCGTGCTCACTGTGTACCGTGCTCACTGTATACCATGCTCACCGTCTACTATTATCACCGTGTACCGTGCTCACTGTGTACCGTGCTCACTGTGTACCATGCTCACCGTCTACTATGATCACCGTGTACCGTGCTCACTGTGTACCGTGCTCACTGTGTACCATGCTCACCGTCTACTATGATCACCGTGTACCGTGATCACTGTGTACCATGCTCACCGTCTACTATTATCACCGTGTACCGTGCTCACTGTGTACCATGCTCACCGTCTACTATGATCACCGTGTACCGTGATCACTGTGTACCATGCTCACCGTCTACAATGATCACCGTGTACCGTGATCACTGTGTACCATGCTCACCGTCTACTATGATCACCGTGTACCGTGATCACTGTGTACCATGCTCACCGTCTACTATGATCACCGTGTACCGTGATCACTGTGTACCATGCTCACCGTCTACTATGATCACCGTGTACCGTGCTCACTGTGTACCATGCTCACCGTCTACTATGATCACCGTGTACCGTGCTCACTGTGTACCATGCTCACCGTCTACTATGATCACCGTGTACCGTGATCACTGTGTACCATGCTCACCGTCTACTATGATCACCGTGTACCGTGCTCACTGTGTACCATGATCACCGTGTACCGTGCTCACTGTGTACTTCGCTCTTCACGCATTTAGAGGAACAACAACTGTCTACAGAGTTGTGTAGCGGATAACGAAGTCTTGGTACTGCTATACGTGGCGGCAACTCGTTAAATATCTGAATATATTATAGTGAAGATTTTTCAGTAGTGTAAAATTGTGCATATAATGCTGTTAGAACGCGCGCGTGCGCGTGTGTGTGATTACTATTTGTGCTTGCAGAATCGAGCTATTAGCTCTTGGACCCGGCTTTGCTAACCGATCTATTTTGTCCACTGTTATGTCTACTACATATATTTCTCTCTGGCGCACACGCACATAGTTCCATGAAGAAGCCCGTGGCAGCCATCTAACTCCCAGGTACCTGTTTACTACTAGGTGAACAGGGAGATCAGATGAAATAGCCAATTTGTTTCTGCCTCGGGCGGGAATCGAACCCGGGTCCTTCGGACTACGACCCCCGAGCGCTGTCCACTCAGCGCCGAGGCTATGTGTGTGTGTGCATTAGTGATCATGCGTGCGTGCATGCCTGCCTGATTGTGCGCACGCGCGCGATTTGGTTCAAGGCCAAAACTGGACTGCACCAAACTAGCTTCATACACTTTAACAGTGGTGTTATTGAGGTCTTGTTTACCTTAGCTAGTGATACAGGGGCCGTTACGTAATCCCCCATTGACCCCTTTGCCTCACTATCCCCCCTTCCCCATTTTCTCCGCCCCCTTTCCACCCCATTCTCTCTGCTCCCTCTTGACCCCCCTTTTCCTCACGCTGCTCTCGGGCGAATTATTCGCCTAACCTCCTTCCCCTTTCCATCATTCTTAACGTCCTCTGCTCCAACACGTTCCGTTTATTAGTCAGCCCATTCCTCTAGCACCAATCCCATGAAGAGCTGCTTCACATTTTCTATCGTGCGTCCGTCGCTGGCGCCTCGATCACACTAATCCTGCCAGATCCTCCCCCCAATCTCTCTCACTGCCCTCCAATCCTGCTAATGTTGACCGGAAGCCGGTCTACCCTGCCGGCCATCCTGCTGTCCCCGGCTCGGGGTATCTTTTTGAATCGTGTTCGAATCCCTTTTGTGTATAGAACCTCGTGCTTAGCTGTGATCCCTGTGTCGTGGTGTAGTGCCCTGATCTTTGTAACCCCCTTGGCTAGGGGGGAGAGGGCCATTTCATGGCCCTGTGTGCTATAGTGGCCCTTCGACCCCCGATAAATGGCCTGCCGGTGTTCAAAAGCTCTTGAGTCTTTGGGTTTTAATTGTTTTTTTATGGAGACTTGACTTGCTTATCCGCTGCCCATGATGCCTACTGTGTAGCCTGTGGTGGTGGTGGGGGGGTAGTGGTGGTGGGTGTAGTGGTGGTGGAGGGAGTAGTGGTGGTGGGTGTAGTGGTGGTGGGTGTAGTGGTGGTGGGAGTAGTGAGGGGGGGGGAGTAGTGGTGGTGGGAGTAGTGGTGGTGGGAGTAGTGGTGGCGGGAGTAGTGGTGGTGGACAACAGTGGTAAACAATAGGAGTGACTTAACCACTGCTTAGTGGCGACGGACCGGATCAAGCCACTCCTGGTATTAGATGGCTTGGAGCTAACATGAAGTCGGATTTACACAGTCGGGGGAAAGCGATTTATCGGCGGATTACCAGACACACTCGGTGACCTCCCGCCGCCGATTCATTTGACTATTACGACACGCGAAAAAACCCATCGACACTGGGGTTATGACCGGGTGTTTGCCGGGTAATGTAATTGGATTGTGGAGCGCCATTTTTTTTGTGAAGGTTGCTTGAGTTGGTTCTAAAGTTGCTTGAGTTGGTTCTAAAGTTACTTGAGATGGTTCTAAAGTTGCTTGAGTTGGTTCTAAAGTTACTTGAGATGGTTCTAAAGTTGCTTGAGTTGGTTCTAAAGTTACTTGAGTTGGTTCTAAAGTTGCTTGAGTTGGTTCTAAAGTTGCTTGAGTTGGTTCTAAAGTTGCTTGAGTTGGTTCTAAAGTTGCTTGAGTTGGTTCTAAAGTTGCTTGAGTTGGTTCTAAAGTTACTTGAGATGGTTCTAAAGTTGCTTGAGTTGGTTCTAAAGTTACTTGAGATGGTTCTAAAGTTGCTTGAGTTGGTTCTAAAGTTGCTTGAGTTGGTTCTAAAGTTGCTTGAGTTGGTTCTAAAGTTGCTTGAGTTGGTTCTAAAGTTGCTTGAGTTGGTTCTAAAGTGGCTTGAGATGGTTCTAAAGTGGCTTGAGTTGGTTCTAAAGTTGCTTGAGTTGGTTCTAAAGTTGCTTGAGTTGGTTCTAAAGTTGCTTGAGTTGGTTCTAAAGTTGCTTGAGTTGGTTCTAAAGTTGCTTGAGTTGGTTCTAAAGTTGCTTGAGTTGGTTCTAAAGTTGCTTGAGTTGGTTCTAAAGTTGCTTGAGTTGGTTCTAAAGTTGCTTGAGTTGGTTCTAAAGTTGCTTGAGTTGGTTCTAAAGTTGCTTGAGTTGGTTCTAAAGTTACTTGAGATGGTTCTAAAGTTGCTTGAGTTGGTTCTAAAGTTGCTTGAGTTGGTTCTAAAGTTGCTTGAGTTGGTTCTAAAGTTGCTTGAGTTGGTTCTAAAGTGGCTTGAGTTGGTTCTAAAGTGGCTTGAGTTGGTTCTAAAGTTGCTTGAGTTGGTTCTAAAGTTGCTTGAGTTGGTTCTAAAGTGGGTTGAGTTGGTTCTAAAGTTACTTGAGTTGGTTCTAAAGTTACTTGAGTTGGTTCTAAAGTGGCTTGAGTTGGTTCTAAAGTTGCTTGAGATGGTTCTAAAGTTGCTTGAGTTGGTTCTAAAGTGGCTTGAGTTGGTTCTAAAGTGGCTTGAGTTGGTTCTAAAGTTACTTGAGATGGTTCTAAAGTTGCTTGAGTTGGTTCTAAAGTTGCTTGAGATGGTTCTAAAGTTGCTTGAGTTGGTTCTAAAGTTGCTTGAGTTGGTTCTAAAGTTACTTGAGTTGGTTCTAAAGTTGCTTGAGTTGGTTCTAAAGTTGCTTGAGTTGGTTCTAAAGTTACTTGAGTTGGTTCTAAAGTTGCTTGAGTTGGTTCTAAAGTTGCTTGAGTTGGTTCTAAAGTTACTTGAGTTGGTTGTAAAGTTGCTTGAGATGGTTCTAAAGTGGCTTGAGTTGGTTCTAAAGTTGCTTGAGTTGGTTCTAAAGTTACTTGAGTTGGTTCTAAAGTTACTTGAGTTGGTTCTAAAGTTACTTGAGTTGGTTCTAAAGTTGCTTGAGTTGGTTCTAAAGTTGCTTATCTTAAATAGGTATTTTGTCACGAACTTATTTTTGTGAATATATAGAATAAATTCAGAATTTATCAGCTTTGTAGCAGTAATATATATATATATATATATATATATATATATATATATATATATATATATATATATATATATATATATATATATATATACACGAAAGGCTAGTTAGTTTGTTAAATTAGTTAATTTAATTTGATATAATTGAGTTAAGGTGGAACGGCGAGCTGGTTATATTAAATTTTGTGAAATTAATAATTTAAATTTGCAAATTTGTCACTACTCTTGGAGCAAGATGTAGAAATGTAAGTTTCCGTTTTCTATGATTTGTGCTCCATTTTCTGTAATGTTCCGTTTTCTGTAAATTGTGATCCATTTTCTGTTGTTTCTGCTCCGTTTTCTGTATTTTCTGCTTCGTTTTCTGTAGTTTCTGCTCCGTTTTCTGTATTTTCTGCTCCGTTTTCTGTAGTTTCTGCTCCGTTTTCTCTACTTTGTAGGTCTCACTACAGATGGAAAAAGTATCAACGTTAGTTCCATAAACCAAAGTCTATAAAATAAAGAAATTCAATTAACTGAAGAATTGAACTAATTCCTGTGTTCTTTATAATGTAGAACATTTGAACCTCAGAACCTGGGTTGGGCTCGGCCCCCGCTTGGACGAGCCTAGCCCTGAGGATGGGGTGGGCTCGGCCCCCGCTTGGACGAGCCTAGCCCTGAGAATGGGATGGGGTCAGCCCCAGCTTGGACAAGCATACCATAAGGAAGGGTTATCGAGACAGAATTTCAACTCGTAAATCAGCTGGAAAACATGACGTACATTTTGTTAAGATCGAGGACGCTGAGCAGTAGAACATTTGGGTTCTTAGTGGGTGCCCAAGGTGTAAGTGGGTCGTTAGTGGGTACCTAAGGTGTAGGTGGGTCTTAGGGGCTGTGGGAAGGCAACCTGCTCTCGCACAAGACAGCACATATATGACTTATTGCTTATAGTCACTATTTCTCTTATAAATAAGTACATATGTGATATTTTCCAAGCCATATTTTTTCAAGGCATTAACTTTTCCTCTCAGTTCTATTAAACAATAGAGATTTTATACAAAATTTGACAATATCCTGAGTTACTTTACAATTTATTTAAATATGTTAGTTTTGTTTTATTATTTTTATAAAACTGTAATACCAATATAGGTATAGGTTCAGTACTAATTGCAATATCTTAACATACTAAGAAGGTTAGGTTAGGTTGTGGTTTTCTATTCAGCATTTCAAGGTACACTCAAATATTCACAATAAATTAGTATGTCACATATGCACTTATTCATAAGCAAGATATTGACTATAAGCAAGTGCGAAAACGGGTTGGGGAAGGATGATGCTGTGTACATGGGAGTAAGAGTGGTGCATGCGTGTGTGTTGATAGATATAACAACCGTGGGAGTGTTGATGGGTGTGAATGGGGGCCTCGGGTGACATCTGGCGTGGGTGATACTAACTCCCTGAGTGCTTGAGGGACTGTTGCTTGTCACTGCTTGAAGTGGAGGGAAGGAGGAGGAGAAGGAGGAAGAAAAAGCAGCCTCACAGCTGATGTGTCCCACTATCTCTCTCTCCCACGGTGGGGAATCTCCCTCTCCCACGGTGGGGAATCTCCCTCTCCCACGGTGGGGAATCTCCCTCTCCCACGGTGGGGAATCTCCCTCTCCCACGGTGGGGAATCTCCCTCTCCCACGGTGGGGAATCTCCCTCTCCCACGGTGGGGAATCTCCCTCTCCCACGGTGGGGAATCTCCCTCTCCCACGGTGGAGAATCTCCCTCTCCCACGGTGGGGAATCTCCCTCTCCCACGGTGGGGAATCTCCCTCTCCCACGGTGGAGAATCTCCCTCTCCCACGGTGGGGAATCTCCCTCTCCCACGGTGGGGAATCTCCCTCTCCCACGGTGGGGAATCTCCCTCTCCCACGGTGGGGAATCTCCCTCTCCCACGGTGGAGAATCTCCCTCTCCCACGGTGGGGAATCTCCCTCTCCCACGGTGGGGAATCTCCCTCTCCCACGGTGGGGAATCTCCCTCTCCCACGGTGGGGAATCTCCCTCTCCCACGGTCTCCACGGTGGGGAATCTCCCTCTCCCACGGTGGGGAATCTCCCTCTCCCACGGTGGGGAATCTCCCTCTCCCACGGTGGGGAATCTCCCTCTCCCACGGTGGGGAATCTCCCTCTCCCACGGTGGGGAATCTCCCTCTCCCACGGTGGGGAATCTCCCTCTCCCACGGTGGGGAATCTCCCTCTCCCACGGTGGGGAATCTCCCTCTCCCACGGTGGGGAATCTCCCTCTCCCACGGTGGGGAATCTCCCTCTCCCACGGTGGGGAATCTCCCTCTCCCACGGTGGGGAATCTCCCTCTCCCACGGTGGGGAATCTCCCTCTCCCACGGTGGGGAATCTCCCTCTCCCACGGTGGGGAATCTCCCTCTCCCACGGTGGGGAATCTCCCTCTCCCACGGTGGGGAATCTCCCTCTCCCACGGTGGGGAATCTCCCTCTCCCACGGTGGGGAATCTCCCTCTCCCACGGTGGGGAATCTCCCTCTCCCACGGTGGGGAATCTCCCTCTCCCACGGTGGGGAATCTCCCTCTCCCACGGTGGGGAATCTCCCTCTCCCACGGTGGGGAATCTCCCTCTCCCACGGTGGGGAATCTCCCTCTCCCACGGTGGGGAATCTCCCTCTCCCACGGTGGGGAATCTCCCTCTCCCACGGTGGAGAATCTCCCTCTCCCACGGTGGGGAATCTCCCTCTCCCACGGTGGGGAATCTCCCTCTCCCACGGTGGGGAATCTCCCTCTCCCACGGTGGGGAATCTCCCTCTCCCACGGTGGGGAATCTCCCTCTCCCACGGTGGGGAATCTCCCTCTCCCACGGTGGGGAATCTCCCTCTCCCACGGTGGGGAATCTCCCTCTCCCACGGTGGGGAATCTCCCTCTCCCACGGTGGGGAATCTCCCTCTCCCACGGTGGGGAATCTCCCTCTCCCACGGTGGGGAATCTCCCTCTCCCACGGTGGGGAATCTCCCTCTCCCACGGTGGGGAATCTCCCTCTCCCACGGTGGGGAATCTCCCTCTCCCACGGTGGGGAATCTCCCTCTCCCACGGTGGGGAATCTCCCTCTCCCACGGTGGGGAATCTCCCTCTCCCACGGTGGGGAATCTCCCTCTCCCACGGTGGGGAATCTCCCTCTCCCACGGTGGGGAATCTCCCTCTCCCACGGTGGGGAATCTCCCTCTCCCACGGTGGGGAATCTCCCTCTCCCACGGTGGGGAATCTCCCTCTCCCACGGTGGGGAATCTCCCTCTCCCACGGTGGAGAATCTCCCTCTCCCACGGTGGGGAATCTCCCTCTCCCACGGTGGGGAATCTCCCTCTCCCACGGTGGGGAATCTCCCTCTCCCACGGTGGAGAATCTCCCTCTCCCACGGTGGGGAATATCCCTCTCCCACGGTGGGGAATCTCCCTCTCCCACGGTGGGGAATCTCCCTCTCCCACGGTGGAGAATCTCCCTCTCCCACGGTGGGGAATCTCCCTCTCCCACGGTGGGGAATCTCCCTCTCCCACGGTGGGGAATCTCCCTCTCCCACGGTGGGGAATCTCCCTCTCCCACGGTGGGGAATTTCCCTCTCCCACGGTGGGGAATCTCCCTCTCCCACGGTGGGGAATCTCCCCTCTCCCACGGTGGGGAATCTCCCTCTCCCACGGTGGGGAATCTCCCTCTCCCACGGTGGGGAATCTCCCTCTCCCACGGTGGGGAATCTCCCTCTCCCACGGTGGGGAATCTCCCTCTCCCACGGTGGGGAATCTCCCTCTCCCACGGTGGGGAATCTCCCTCTCCCACGGTGGGGAATCTCCCTCTCCCACGGTGGGGAATCTCCCTCTCCCACGGTGGGGAATCTCCCTCTCCCACGGTGGGGAATCTCCCTCTCCCACGGTGGGGAATCTCCCTCTCCCACGGTGGGGAATCTCCCTCTCCCACGGTGGGGAATCTCCCTCTCCCACGGTGAGGAATCTCCCTCTCCCACGGTGGGGAATCTCCCTCTCCCACGGTGGGGAATCTCCCTCTCCCACGGTGGGGAATCTCCCTCTCCCACATGCAGATATTCAGATTACTTGGCAGTCAGGCTGGTACATTGTCTGAGAGGTAAGACAAACTCAGTTTCCTTATAATTAATTCCTCCATGTTTTTTTTGTCTTTCCTTGCTCCTTCCTTTGACCTTCCTTCCTCCCTCCCCCCTTCCATCTCCCTCCCTTCTGCCCCCTCCATTGATTCCAGAGAGAGAGAGAGAGAGAGCAGACAGCTAGGTAGGTAAGCAGGCAGACCGCAGAAAAGCAAACAGCTTGCAAACTGACAAACAAAATGAGAACACGCCATTCCCCAACTGACCGAGGCACCCACTAATTAGTGTTCACCTGGTGTGGTGAACACCCACTTGTTCATCTGGTGTGGTGAACACCCACTTGTTCACCTGGTGTGGTGAACACCCACTTGTTCACCTGGTGTGGTGAACACCCTCTTGTTCATCTGGTGTGGTGAACACCCTCTTGTTCATCTGGAGTGGTGAACACCCACTTGTTCATCTGGAGTGGGGAACACCCTCTTGCTCACCTAGAGTGGGGAACACCCTCTTGTTCATCTGGAGTGGTGAACACCCTCTTGTTCACCTGGAGTGGGGAACACCCTCTTGTTCACCTGGAGTGGGGAACACCCTCTTGTTCATCTGGAGTGGTGAACACCCTCTTGTTCATCTGGAGTGGTGAACACCCACTTGTTCATCTGGAGTGGTGAACACCCTCTTGTTCATCTGGAGTGGTGAACACCCTCTTGTTCACCTGGAGTGGTGAACACCCACCTGTTCACCTGGAGTGGTGAACACCCACTTGTTCACCTGGAGTGGTGAACACCCACTTGTTCATCTGGAGTGGTGAACACCCACTTGAAGTGAACCAGCGAATAAAGACAATACACATATACCCCAATTATTGGCCGAAAAGGAGCTTGACCTTTATTAAAGCTTTATTAAACCTTTATAAAGCTTTATTAAAGCTTTATTAAAGCTTTATAAAGCTTTATTAAAGCTTTATTTAAGCTTTATAAAGCTTTATTAAAGCTTATTAAAGCTTTATTAAACCTTTATAAAGCTTTATTAAACCTTTATAAAGCTTTATTAAAGCTTTCTTAAAGCCCTATCTAAAAAGATCAACAAATAAAAATAACCAATAGCTAAAAATAACTTAAAAAATGCTCCCTAATCCAAAATTTTGCATAGAAATTGTCTAAATTTAATATAACTTCGTAGCAAACAACCGGTCTCTTGATATAGCTTTCTCGAAACAAGTTGCGTATTACTAAGAACTGGTGCGTAGTATAGTTTAGGGAAGAGAAGGTTCTAAATGGCCTTGTTAGATACGCTAGTTACGGAATTATCAAGAAAAGTCAATCACGGAAAAACAACAAATTTAGACGATTTCTCGCTTTTTTGGTATTTTGGTAAGAATAGTGAGGTGAATACCCC